GAACTGTACAACCTTCGTCACTACCAGCAGCGCAACTGCATTGAACGTGTGTTCGGTGTGCTGAAGAAGCGGTTCAAGATTCTGGAGTATCCATCAGAGTACCCGTTCACGACACAAGTTGACCTGGTCCACACGCTATGCGCTCTACACAACATCGTTATGTAACTCGAATATGACCGCCACTTCCTCCAAATGGCCGACAAGGCCAAGAAGAAGCGTGATCAACTGCAGAAGCGCCGCGCTAACCGACGCCGCCGCATGTCCAATGTGCCAACCCAGCAGCACACTGCTGAAGCTGGGGTTTTGCGTGATAGCATTGCTGCGGCGATGTGGGAGCAGTACAACCGTCTAACAATGGACAAATGCTCAAGAAAAGTGTAATTTTGTCAATTAATTGCTGTTCTTGGCTATCCATGCATCGCGCGCTGGTCCACGAAGCGCCATAAAATTGGTCGCATTGAATCCTTGTCACATTATATCAGCCAGATTTGCGAGAACGCTGCCGTCCAAATGGCTGTAGTTCTGAATGAGGCAATCAATCGCTTGCGTCACACTGTCGTGTGGGTCTTGCTGGTGGTTTGCCTTGGATGCTTGGACGTCCAACAACTTCGAAATTGCATCGCCAATCACGGCACCAGCGCTTCGACGGTCCCTGTTTACCTACTGCTTGAGATTCTTTGGTGGAGGACATGCGTCGTTGGTGCTGATGTCGGAGTTCTCGTAGTCTTTGGACATGTCTACACGCGTTCGACGTCCTATGCCGCCGGTCGCTTGTACCACGGCACTGTGTGAAGACGCTGTTTCATTGCCGCTGTTGTCACGTTGCTCGATGGAGCCCGGTGGCATCGAAGAAAATTGCCCGTCCATGTACGCTCCGTCGAGCAGGATGGCCAAGTTTTCGTAGAGCGGAAACGGTGTGAACCGAAATTTCTTGCATGATGGGCTTGCCTAGACATAGAAGGTCAGATGAGTCCCTGTTAAGCAAGTACCTTGAGAACAGCAGCCCAGACGTCATCTGGTGCAGTAGGCAGGCCCAGATCTTCGTTCCACCCAAACCCAGAGTTGTCGAGTAAGTACAAGACATCTTTGTATTCACGCTTGAGCTATACTGATATCCCCCCGACTTTTAAACGGTCGACTTGAAACAAGTTTCAAAGGAACCAAAAAATATACAGGTACAAATTATGACAACATCATTGAACCGCTTGAAATTTCAATTTCACCTCGACATTTGATATTATCGATTCTCAAGTTTTATTCACTTTGGCACATTAAAAAGTCGGGGGGAAATCAATACGTTGTTAGAAGTGCTTGAAGTCATGTATACGTACGCAGTCGAGTCGTGACTTCACCTTCAACGAGTGATACGAGGTGCCAAAGCGCTCGTTGAATGCCACTGTCACTTCGACCCACGCTTCCTTCTTGTATCCGGAGTCAGATCGCTTGCATTTGTCTACCTGAGCTTGGAGCGCCGTGACAATGAACTCGTCTCGGTCAAGGGTCCACGATGCTCGTGTGCTGTCTTTCGATGCCATGGTTTCGCTGAATGACGCTTCTTGCAGTGC